AGTGCAGCTCTTTGGCGGAACCCAAATTTGTATGCAGCCTCCTGATGGCAAAGGTTATCTGGGAAGTGTTTTTAGCCTTCTAGACTCTACAATACAGGAAGGCCTACTGGAAGGAATGCTGGGTGCCAAGTGACTATATCCAGTCACGTTTTCCTTTATTTCAGTTTATCCGAGATCCCTAGAACTGTCAACATGATTTCTTATGGGTTGTTAACAAACACTGATTGAGCAAAAGGGCCTATTATACACTGGCTTCTTCTTACCTTCCTCTACTTCTCACTCAGAGAAGGATGGATTGTAGACCCTATGATTCAGAAGTGATGTTTGGAAAATGAAAACAAGAACAGTCATGAATTATTGAATGGCTGAGATACTGCTTCAGGATTCAGACAGCAGAGCTGCCCCACCAAGATGCCTTTGGGAAAAGGGCATATTTAGTAACATACAGCATTACAGCTGGAAGGAACCATAGAAAGCATCAGTTTAGCATGTTCCAAAGTGTGTTCCAAAAATGATTTAGATCCACATAATGCTTTGCTGAAAACAATAAAGAACGAAGTGGTCAAATACATTTGGGCAAGAGAAGGGATTCACATTAGGATATTAGAGCCCTTGTGAAACCCTGCAGTAGAGAATCTGCTTAGCTTTAACCCACTGACTTCCACACCTACTTGACCTCAGAACCTTTTTTTTTTTTTTTAAATATAATGCCTGTTAACCTTGTGAGGAACTGGCATTCTATTCTATGGGACTAGATCTAATGGGACTGGGTCTAATTCTGACTCTTCTTTCCCCATATGAGGAAGCTGAAGTCACAGCAGTGAAATTACTTGCCCATGATCACAGAAATAGCAGGTGGTAGAGCTGAGAATAACCTCAAGACTATGGACATTTAGTCTGGTTTGTTTGTTTCTTTCTTTCTTTCTTTCTTTTTTAATTTTACTTATTCATGAAAGACACACAGAGAGAGGCAGAGACATAGGCAGAGGGAGAAGCAGGCTCCCTGTGGGGAGTCCAGTGTGGGGCTCCATCCCAGGACCCTGGGATTATGGGATCATGACCTGGGCCAAAGACAGTTGCTCAACCACTGAGCCATCCAGGTGCCTGTGGAGTTCTTTCTTTTTACTACTCATATTACTCTGTCTAAAGAACCTTTCCTCCTTTAAATCTCCAGGCATCTTCTTTAAGGCAACAGTTGCTAAGAGAAAGATTACTAAAGGAAAATCATATTCTTATACCCATAGGTTGCCACAACCGGCATTATCACAGATGCCAAATGGGGAAAACAAAGAGAAAGTCAACCATTTAGTATATGTTTGCCTCCAAATAATCAGTGTTTTGACACCAGCTGGGATATTCCTAGACCCTTCATCTTTCTGTTTACCAAATTGCAGATCACCAGGAAGTGACACGAAGTATATGATCTATTACCGAAACTAATTACTCCCAAAACTAGTGACCTTAGAACAATAAACCTTTATTATATCTCACACAGTTTCTGTGGGAATCTATGAATGGCTTTGATGTGTGATTCTGGTGCGGAGTTTCTCGTGAGGCTGCAGTCACAATGTCAGGCAGGACACAGTCATCTGAAGGTTTCACTGGGGCTGGAGCATCTCTTCTCAAGATGGCTCACCCATAGCCTGGGAAGTTTATTCTAGCTGCTGGCAGGAGGCGTTACTTCCTTGCCATATGGACTTCTCCACAAAAGGCTGCTTGAATGGCCTCATGACAGACATGGTGGTTGGCTTTACCCAGAGTGAGTAACCCAAGAGAGAGAGCAAGGAGGGAGCCACAGTGCTTTTTATGACTGAGGCTCAGAAGCTACATACAATCACTTCTGTCATATTCTACACTTATTATAAATGAGTAACTATGTCTAGTCTACATATAAGGGAAACTCTCCCTTTTGGAGGAACAAATGTCAAAAAACTTGTGTACATATTTTAAAACTACCATATCAAGAAAAAGTTGTAAGAAAAAGGATGCTAATTAAACGACTAAAACATAAGGAACATATTTGAGCTAAAAATCCATTTAGGACAAGCTAATTGGAAAGTCTGAAAGAGATCAAGAATTTAAATTTACATGGGATCTGAAGTCTCAACCTGAATCACTGGCACAGACATCCTTGAACTTCTTGCAATGAAACACTTTTTAAAAGATTTGTTTATTTATTTGAGAGAGAGAGTGAGAGAGAGAGCATGCGCACACACGTGTGTGTGCATGCGTGCGCATATGCTGGGGGAGGGACAGAGGGAGAGAGAACCCTGAAGCAGATTCCCTGCTGAGCACGGAGCCCAGCACCCTGAGATCATGACCTGAGCCGAAATCAAGAGTCAGATACTCAACTGACCTAGCCATCCAGGGGCCCTGCAATAAGACACTTCTGAATAAGAAAACTTCTGAAAGAAAACTTCTCTTGTGGCCACTGTGACTGGGAAGGTAGGTTAAGGATCTGACCCAAGGATAAGCAACACAGAGAGCATATCCACTGTTTTGACTTGTATCCATCCAAGCAAACTTTTCCTTTCTTCAGCCTTTGAATTTTCTATGTGTTGCAATATCCCAACATGACCAAGACAGTCAAATTCCAGCTCTAGCCTTCACATCTTTCTTTTTCTTCTGAAGGTTTATGTCCATTCCTCTATGCTCTCTGAAAGCAGGATATCATGATCTAATTGCCTAAGAATTTATTTCCAAATAGATGTTGACAGAGCCTGAAAATCTCAGAAAGATCAGTCAGATCATATTATCTCCTTTATTCAATATTTTTTTTTAAATTAAAAAAATACCCAGTTATGATCCTGAAAGAACTTTCCTTTGTGGCACCTGGGGTATTCAGTCAATCAACAAGCATTTCTTGGACATATGATAAAGATGAGAGGCTCTCTAGGACTCACGTAATATTTAGGAACTAAACATAAAACAGATGCAGATAAAAACAATGATCACAAAAGTGAGAATGAGAGAGAGAGAGGAATGGCCTGAGGCAGTTGTATGAGAGAGGTCAATTTTAAGGAAACTGTCCCAGAAAAGATGAGTCTTTGCTTGGAGCTTAAAACAATTCTCAATATTTGTGGGCAATTGGGCAACAGCTAGGAGGTAAGAGAAGAAAGCCTGAATGTTTGGCCATTGGAGAGAAGAGAAAAGAGTGGGCCCGAATATGATGGGAGACAAGATTAAAAGGGTAGGGTGAGGAGGATGATCAAAATGGATCCAAACAAACTGAGCTACAAAGAGTTTGGTGTAACTGGAGCAAATCCTTTGCAAGAGTTGAACTTTTTTTTTTTTTCTGTAGACTGCTTCTCAAAACGAAATGAAGCAAAACAAAACAAATAGCAACAAACCTTTCCCATTCATAGAGACTCTTCTAAGGCTAGATTGAGCCTATAGGCCCCTGTAGGGAGATATGGGCTTCAGGTTCAGTCTCGCCTTCTGGGGCACATTCCAATCACCATCAAGACGGAAAATCCACCAATAGTATGTGGAGGAAAGGCTGCGGAGAGGCCAGTAACTGACTGGTTGACTGATAAGATTTGTTCATTCAAGGAGGTTACAGTGAATGCCTTCCGGTTTGAGAGACAAGTAGGATTAAATATGTTGTTCATGGGGTTAGCGCAAGATGGCAGGCAAGTCTCCATTTATTCATCATACGTTTCATTTCTCTCTCTCTTCCTTTTGTGTGGAAATTGTTGAAGGATTTTTTTCATTGAAAATTGATTCTGATCCTGCTATGTATGTGTCAGGGACTGTGTTAGGTGCGGAGAATCCCAAATTGACTGAAGCATCATGTCGACAATGTGACAACAAACTTAAAGCCTGAATACTTGGTTTTCTGTTTCTGCCTGTTGCTTTGCCAAAAGGGGAACTATTTCTCCTGGAACAGAGTGGACAAATGTGCAGCAGGTGAACAGAATCATATATGCTCTCCAGTTGTTATACCAGCTGTGTCACACTGACATTGGCCTCCACCTGTCCAAATCCTGCTTCTACCAATTCAGAACCAAGTTATTTTTATATTTATATCAAGAGATAACCCAAGTGGTGATGGAAGTTCTTTAATACTGAATTTGGAACCTAATGCGTTCTAGTTTCTGGAAACCCATATACTAGGCAGCTACTTTCATAGGATAGACACAAAACATAAATTATAGCAATAGTCAAGAGACTTTCCAGCTGCTGGTGGTGGAGGAGTTGATACTCTTATTTTGGATGGGGTGATGAACCTTGGACCCTGGGAGGGACTGACCCAAAGTCATCTGACACATAGATGGATGTAGAGGATGAGCCAGGGCTACTCAAATCTCCTGGCTTTGAATCAGTGCTCTTTTTATTAAGCCAGGGGTGATATAACCCACCAGATGAGTGCAGATTTTAATCTCACTCATCGAGAGGCATGCTGGGCATACATCTCACACATACACATCATTGTGGTTCCTAGGTGGTTGATCCTCATCACCCTTTGACTTCAGTTTTTCTTTTCCTTTGCAAAATAGCTATTGCCCAGAGCCAGCATCTCTTCTCCAAAAAAGTATCGTGCCTGAAGGGTTTTTGGAAACTGCCTTGATATCTGTCAGAAGCCAGATGATTCGCAGCGATGAATCAATGCATATAACAAGGATACCTGATTGGATTACCAATTAGCCATCTCCACCTCTGGAGGGTGGTTGGAAACAAGAGAAAATGCAGTGTTTAGTTTGGGTAATTACCAAAAGGGCTTATCATTCTCATCAAGGCATCAACATGGCACATTAGACCTCCTTCAAATTATTCCACAGAAACTTCCCTCTCCAGATGCTCCAGCAAGAGTAAACTTGCCATGCAAACATTGAGTTATTGTGTCTGAGCTACAGAAGCACCTCTGTGTCAGTGAGAGGGGAGAAACTGGCTAACCTGCATCTGTTTTTAATAATGTCTCTGCTGTTGGGAAGTTTTGGAAGCTGCAGGTAAAATATTCCCATATAAAAGTGAGGCTGGCCTGGGATGTATCATCTTACCTTTACCTGAAAGAGGTTCTTTGGTTTTAGTAGGCCCTGGGAGGGACAGGCAGATGTTTTCTCCATCTGGATCCAGCAAGAAGTGTCCCACTGTGGGGTCTCTTGGATATTCTTGAAAGTAAGCACAGGCATGGATAGTGTTAGCACCAGTGCAGGGGAGGCAGGCTTAACTTGGGCTGTGCTCCCTGAATCCCCAGTGGGTAGATGCCAGTATGCTCAGGTGCTTGCTAGAGCGCAGGCTCAGCCCTACTCCTTGGATTCAGCAGAGCAGGGCCATCATTTAGGCCCCTTCCTCTGGACATCAGTTTGAGATGAACAGGGTGGGGCTGCCACTAGCCTATGTCATGCTTTGTGAGAGTCTGGCAAAGGGGCCCCTCTGGACTCAAGCAGCCCTACATAAGCAAGGCTAGGTTGGCGAGGAGCCCCTTCTTCTAGGGGTGTGTAGCCCAGCCCCTGGACACAAAGCTTGGGGACTCCAGCTTCTGCTTCCTCTGTCCATCATGTGTCTCTATGCGGCACTCTACAGTACAGCCATACCCTATGGATCAATGCTGGGGCTGCTTCGTGACTTTTCTCATTTGTGAGGCTAATGAGAAGGAAGCTGTTTAGAAGAATTGAAGGTGTTTCTATAACCTTCCCTTCCCTATCACTGAGGTAAAGGGCTCAGGAGTAGAGCTGGCCACTGTCCACAGTGGATGCTTAAGGGACACACACACACACACACACACACAGAGGCATTGCACACACACCGAAACTCACAATATTTTTATAGAGAGTTGTGCACAGACACATATATATGCAAAGCAACCACACATACACATGCATGCACAACCACATATGCTGGTGTGCACGCATGGATGTACACGTACCATGCATGAATGAAGACACACATCAACACATGCAAACTTGTTCTCAGGCATGCATGCATACATGCATAATCACACACACACACACATATATACACAAGCACTCACATAGGCTTATAAGCATACACATACCTCATACACACATGTGCTCTCATACATACACTCATTCATTTATGCACGCTTAGCCTATACACTTGAGGCTTTAGATTGCACTCTTATCATAGTCCTGACCTTGGCATTCATTCTAATCAGATTTTCCCTTTATGAAAATGTCGGAGTATGGGTGTGTGTGTTTGTGTTTGCTATGGTTTGTCCTGGGCTATGCAACCTCCTAGGAACACCCTATTACTGACGTGACCATACCAAAGTTTGGTTCATTTGTATCAAATTTAATAGAGGATCACTGCCAGGCAAATATAAAAGGGAGGGGGCTATAAGAGAAAGATTCCATGCCATAATAATTTATAAGTGAAAATGAGGTCTTTGGAGAAAGAGAGTGAGAGCTGGGGGGAGAGAGGGGTTTGATTTTGACCATTTCAGTGACAGAGAAGCTGCAAACACATAAGGGATTTACTGATCTATGTATTTAATTTATGCTTACAAGGCTTCAACTATATATGCTTGGGAGAGGGAGGGAGGAGAGAGAGAGGGAGAGACTTAAATCGTGAGGCATCCTGTCCCTGAGTGAATATGAGATGAAAATGAAAGATGCCATACCTGCTGTCTTTGTGGCTCTCGGTTCCTACATGCCTCTCAGAGTGTGAGTTTCTCACAGCCCTGAGTGTGATTCTGCTGTTAACAGAGGTACTTTCTTCACATTGTCTGGCACCCAAGCATATACCAATCTCCTTCATCTGGTGTTCAACCAAAGACAGCAGTCCAACACTCTCATGAAGGAGGAACAGCTGGCTGGGCTGAACTTTCTAGAAAATGGTTTGTCAGGTGTCCAGAATGGCACCTCCCTAAGGAATATTCAGGGGTAATTTGGACTCTAAGCAGTTTTTGCTTTATGAGCTGCCTTTAGATCACAGCCCCCATGGAAGCTATTACTACTGCACTGCCTCTGCACTATTGCTCTTCTATAAGCATCTTAGTCTCCTTCTAGACTGTAAGCTCTTAAAGATAAGAACTTTAAGTGGGCCTAAGTCATAGAGGAAGTGGATTTGCTTTGCCTCACCCTTCAAGAGAAATCCTTCTCTCTCTATGGACAGGCCTCAGGCTCTGCCCTGGGCTGGAGGGTGACTTCTCTCTGGGGACTTTTCCTCTTGGCAGGGTCATGTCACCAGGCTCCCTTGCCCCAGGGAGGGTATTGAGTATGCCTGGTAAATCCAGTAGCGTGTCTCCCTGATGAGCAAAGGGGGCTGTGTCATCACACACTGCTGCCAGGAGTGAGGAGAGCACAGAACAGCTTGGCAGTGCGTGTTGGTGCAGCAAACCCTTAAAACATGTACTGACTCTTTTAGGAATATGCATGGTGAATGTTAATCCCAGACATTGTTGGAAACACTGCTGATTTCCCCTTTACAATGGGGTGGTTTTCAGACAGTTTACATCACAGCTGCTGTGTGGCCCTGGCAGACGATTAAAATGATCCCAGAGCAACAGACAAGCTGAGGCGGGGTGGGGGTGGGGGTGGGGGGGAGCATCTGCATACCCCAGGAGTGATTACCTTGTTCTTCTGCTGGAAGGGCCCCCCTGGCCCTTCTCATATCCAAGGGGCCTATGGAACTGCTGCAGCTTGATGTCCTGGGTTTGTCCAGGCCCTGCTGGCCCTCTGGACTTTTTCTTCCTTTAATCAGGGACAGTGGTGGGGTCACATTCTGGAATAGGGCATCAACGTCTTCCAAAGCAAAAGAAGAAAAAACATGAGTGAGAGAACTTCTGAATCAGCAAGAAGGAGAAAGAACCTTTTGTTGTTGTTGTTGTAGTTGTTGTTTTGGTTTGTTTGTTTTTTTATGTGGTTGATGACTCCTTATGCTTAGGCTAGTTAATTCCACTCATTCATAAGTTTGTCCCTCTTTTCTAGCCTTGCTAAGGAGTGGAGGCCAAGGTGGCTAGCACAGTGACCCTTCAGTTGGGGAGCTTCCAAGAGCTAGAAGAACTGGAATAATGGTTGTTGTTATCATGTTTGCTGAAAGACTCCTGAGAGGGAAAGAAGACTGGGGAGGCCTGGAGATCTTTCAAGCCCCTAGAACAAAGGCTCAAACTAGAAAGACTCCAGCTTTAGAGCTCATGGGATTGTTGGCTAGAGTTCCAACCACAAAGCAATTTTTCTGAGCAGAACCGATGATCACATGGCTCCTCAAAAGTCAGAAAGTACAAAGTAGCACCTTCCAGATGGTAGTTAGAAAGTAATGAGATTGATGATAATGCTCCACAAAACACATCCTGCCCTCCACTTCTGTTCTCTTGCTGTAGTTCTTTTTTCAAAATCAGTAGGGACTACTCTAGGAAGGGTGAAACCCACTAATCTAAGTGATTGAGACCTTGTCTTAATCTCTGGGAGTGATCTTTATTTCATATTCAACACACTGTTGCTGCTGTGTTTAAAAGCTGGCTTCAAGCGCGATTTCAAAGTATCACAGGCTACTTATTTATTACAAAGGGAAAAGGTGCCTTTACAATGGAGAAATCCAGTAGACACCACCTTTAACTAAATAATAAATTTTAACATTCCCTGTAATGAAACAAATGATAACAAATGGAATAAATATGAAGGGATATTTCTTGTCTCTTGGTGTGATATGCTGAGAAGGACATATCATCACCTACATACTATTCTTGCCAAAAATGTTGGATCTGAATCTAATTACAAGGAAACAGACAAATTAAAATCAAGCATAATTCTGAAAAGCAACTAGCCTATCCTCTTCAAAAATGTTGATATCATGAAAAACAAGATTCTAAAGAAATGGGGCAATTAAATACAGTACTAATTCTGAGTAGAATCCTGGACTGATTGGGGGAAAAAACTATAAAGAATGTTATTGGTGGGCAGCCCAAGTGGCTCAGCAGTTTAGTGCAGCCTTCGGCCTGGGGCGTGATCCTGGAGACCTGGGATCGAGTCCCACGTTGGCCACCCTGCGTAGAGGCTGCTTCTCCCTCTGCCTGTGTCTCTGCCTCTCTCTCTCTGTGTCCCTCATGAATGAATGAATGAATGAATGAATGAATAAATAAATAAATAAATAAATAAATAAATAAATAAAATCTTTTTTTTAAAAGAACGTTATTGGTATAATTTTGAAAATTTGAATATGGACTATATATTAAAAAATAAATTTTCTTGAGTGTGGTAGTTATATAGTGGTTATGAGGAAGAAAAATCATTGCTCTTAGGACATATGTGCTGATAAGGGAAGAAATATACGAAGTCTGTAATTTAATCTCAATGGTTCAGCAATAAAATAAGTATGGTATATGTACATATATAAAGTCTGGTTTTATTTTTATGATATTAAAGGTGAGATGATCCAGGGCTAAGCAAGAAAATGAGTACATGCAACCTCTGGCAACAGGACAGTCCTGCTTAGTAGCTTTCAACACCCTTGCCCCAGGAATCTTCTTCTTATTTTTTAAGACTTATTTATTTATTTTAGGGGGAGGGAAGAAGAGGGGCAGCAGGAGAAGGAGAGAAAGTCTCAAGCAGATTCTGCACTCAGTGGGGAGCCTGGCATGGAATTTGATCTCACGACCCTGAGATCAGGACCTGAACTGCAACCAAGAGTCATACACTTAACTGACTGAGCCACCTGCCCCAGGAATCTTTGTAGGAAAGATTGTCATGCAAACCTTGCCTCTTTAGATTCTTTTCTTTATGCATCTACTACTAGTTGGGTCACATACTGAACTAACTCACACAAAGTATCAGAGACTTCTTTGACCAGCTTCCCCTTGGCAGGGTGGCAGAGGATGAACAAGTTCTAGATATTTGGTGGACATGGCAGCCCAAAACAGGTGGAGAACAGTGTGAAGTGAGAAATACCAAAGATAAAATTCAATGGTGTTGCCATTGATCCCAATGAGTCAGACTGTGTGCTGGACATTGTGTTCACAGGTGGAAAGCTGCTCTCCTACCTGTTTGCACACAGAGTGACCCTTGTCCATATTTGGATTATTTTTGGAAAGGAAACTTCAGAGGCTTTAGGATAATTAACTCTCACTTAAGAGATAAACAAGCCCTTTCCCCAGTAATCAAAGGAAGCTCTCAAAACTGAAATATCTCAAGAACATCCTGATCTGGAGTCATTGTTTTGCTTATTCTGGAAGACAGTACAGTGTAATGGGTAGGAGTACAGATTCTGGCACCAGAAGGCCTGAGTGCCAGTGCCAGCTAGGCCACTTAGAATTGTGTGACCTCAAACAAATTACTTATCTTTCATGGCTTCAGTTTTCTGATCTGTGAAGTGAGGTAGGATTGTTATGAGGAGTAGTGAGATAAACTAAGGATGGGCCCTGGCACAGAGGAAGAACTCCATAAATATGAATGCTCATCCTTCTACTTGTGATTACTACTAGTCAGAGATCACTTAGCATTTGTCACACAGTCATTTTGCCCTTTGGAAAGAAGGTTTGGTTTTCTGAAGATGAAGGGCTTTCTAAATATGACCCATTATTTCCAGCCTGTCAACACATAAAAAAATACACTTAGCTACACTCATGTGTATAGTTTCAAATGTCCATATGATGTCTTGAAAAATGGGAGGGAAGTCTTTTATTAATATTATTAATTTTAATAAATTAATCAGAAATGGAACTCCCTTGGTTTAAAATGTAGGATAAACTATAAAGTATACAGCAAATTTTAGCAAGTTTGGTTGCTGTTTTATATCTACAACCAGAAACTATTAGTAGGGGGATGATTCAGTTAGTAAGTTGCATAAGCTAGAAACTATGTTGGTTTTGAAATAGCGCTTTGGTTAAAGGCAGCTACTGACTGAATTAAGTCATCTTCAAGTGTCAGGGGAGGAACGAGCCTCCCTTATAGCTTCTCATGGCTGAGAACCCTTATGTGTCTTGCCTTGCTTCCCTTCAGGGTAAGAGTTCTGTGGGGTGCTGGAGGGAATGAATAGCTACCTTGACATGAGAGCATGTCCTTGCCTGTGTCCACTGGGAGATGTACTGTTAACTCCCTTGGCTTTTCTGGGGATGTATGCTTCAGGGGAGGTTTCCATAAAGGCCTGGCCTTTTCTTCTGTTTCCGGTCCTGACTCAGGCTGTGGGGCACCTGGGAGACAAGGAGAAAGCCAAGTTTTTTAGATGTCTGTGGTTTTTGCCAGCTGTCTCTTCTTTTGGAGGCCCGTCTCTCCCCTGCTCACATATGTGGTTTGGGTGGAGCTGTGTCTATTCCCTGACTGTGGGGTATGCAAGTGACTGAAGCCTAGCTAATGAACAAACCTCACTGTCTTAGCTGCATTGATTGGGTCCAGATTGGGCATACAACCCACACCTGGCCAATGAGAGGAAATTCTGGTACTTTTCAAGAGCTTTTAAACAGCATATCCTTTCCAGTAGGGCTAACAGATAAGAGGTTAGCATGAAATTGCAGGAGCAATTCATGGATTTTGAAATCTATCTTTACTACCATATGGGAACATATGAATATGACCAGAAGACACCTTCTTCTAGATCCTACACTTTCTCTTCCTTTAAAAACCTTTCTCTGAAGAGGATGACCCTGGGGAGGGTCGACCATGATTTAGGAGAAGCTTACATTAGGGAGACCCACATCCCCAGTCCTTACTGGCCTGCCTGTGTTCCATCAGGAGCACCCAAACACAGGGGGCCTACCTCTTCTGTGTGGTTTTCCTTTTGGGGGGTTTTGGGTATGGAAATGAATCTCCACTGGGAAGATGAAGAGCTCTGCTGGAGGTTCACTGGCTTTAAATGGACTCCTCAGGGGATCCAGGACTCTGGGTTGTTCTTCTGAGATAGGGGGTAATTTCAAAGCCTTTGGTACCTGAGAAAATTTTTAAAACAAAATAAAACCCAACATGGCAGGTATTTTAAAACTGCTGCTTGCAGAGGACAAATGACACTGTATCTCTTTGTAAATCTAGTGCCAGGTGCTGCTGGGTGTGATGTAGCTTCAGTACTCATGGCTGGGAAGTAGAGCCAACCAACCCAGGAGCTAGCTATCTGATCCAGGAGCTAGCTGGTGCCGCTTTTTGGGAAGCCAGCAATGCCCCTCCCTTAGTCCACTCCCTCACTCCTCTGAGAAGTATAAACGTGATAGATTTAACAGCCTTCCAGACAAAATATAGTCTTTCTTTGTCTTGCAGCTGGGAAATTATGCCAGTTGGAATAATATAGTTGAGATTTCTGTGTTTAGGGAGGGAGGAACCTCTACATATGTTGCTAAGGGAAAAAAGCAAGGTACAGGACACTGCAACCTTTCAGGTTAGAAAGGACTGAAAGTAGGAATATGCATTTGTGCTTGCTTACTTTATGTAAACTGTCTAAGCCTCAATTTCTTTTTCTGTAAAATGGGAGTAATTGTACTTCCTGCCTCATAAGTTTGCTGTATTACATGAGCTAAATATACGTAGTTACAATAATGTTTGGAATTAGAATTTCTTCTGTATTTCTTTGAGAGTAGACTCTTCTCTCATTAGGTTTAGTGCCCAATCTCGCCACTTGCAGGATATCTAGGCATCTCTACATTTCTGCGATGTGGACATAGCTAAAAATGAATCACCATGTGACAGAATCAGCAACACCTTTAGCACAGTTTGGTGTCCTAAAAGCCCCCAAATGTGTGTGTGTGTGTGTGTGTGTGTGTATGTCCAGAGAGAAAAAGTCACAGAGAGAGAGAAACATTGGGGTAGTACTTAGAGTCTCCTCTTTCCAGTTATTCACAAGTCGCTGAGGGGCACATGAGTGGCACAGTTGTTTGAGTGTCCAACTCTTAGTTTCAGCTCAGGTTGTTATCTCAGCATAGTGGGATTGAGTCCTGTTTTGGGCTCCACACTCAGCATAGAGTCTACTTGGGTTTCTCTCTCCCTCTCTCTGCCCCTTCCCACCTCTCTCTCTCTCTCTCTCTCTCTCTCTCTTTTTCAAATAAATAAATCTTAAACAAACAAACAAACAGGGGCATCTGGGTGGCTAAGTGTCTGCCTTTGGCTCAGGTCATGATCCCAGGGTCCTGGGATTGAGTCCTGCTCAGGCTCCTGCTCTGCAGGGAACCTGTGCTTCTCCCTCTGCCTCTCTCTCTCTCTCTCTCTCACATGAATAAGTGGGTAAAATTTTTGAAAAACAAAACAAAAGTTGCTGAAAATTTCTCTTTTTAAGTCTTAACACATGAACTTGGCTCTGTGAAATGTACATGTGTGCTAGGTTTCAAGGAGTTCAGTTTCACGGGAAGAAAAATAAAAACGTTTCTCATTTTTTTAGTGTTCAAAGAGAAAAAAATGATCAGAAATATGCATAAGCATCCTCCATGATTAGAGTTGAATGAGGAAGGAAATTCAACCAGGTATATGCAGGGTGATATTTAGGACTTCAAGACAGTAAGAAAATGATTAATCAAATGCACGCACATAGGATCTTTATGTTCCTGGCCTTCACTTTCCAGGTGCCAGCTGCCCACTAACTGCCCTTTTTGAATACTGACCTTGTGCATATAGTCTGACAAGGTTTGCATTGAGAAATCTATGTGTAAACCCAAATGATTTGTGTGAGGTGTGCTGACAAACAAATCTTTAATTTCTTTATTCTAATTAAAACTTTATAGAGTTGTAATAGAGCAGAAAATACTGCCTTCCTCTGCTAAACCATATGCCTGGGTTGAAGAAAGTGTCTGGGCTGACCTGGGGTATGGGATTGAGGCTTTCCTTAGGCCTGCAGATGAGGCCTACTGTTTATTCCTGACCCAAAGGAATCTGGGAGACAGAGGGCCTTCTGGCCTGAATGGGAAGGTTTGGATCAGGTTAGACAGAAGAAATATGAGAAAATCCTGGACAGACTGAAAATAACGTCCCTCATTGGCATCAGGTCCACCTGGAATGCCTGTGACTCCTTCAGCGGCACTTCAGAGGATATGCATCTCCACCATGAACTAACATTGCTCTAGTTCCTAATCTGAGACGAGATACTTTCACAGGAATGCATCATCTCATTTCATCCTTCCATCAGCCTGTGAAGTGGGCATTATCCTCTGTGTGCACAGATAAGATCAGTGCAGCTCAGAGGGCTGAGGGACCTGCTTGACTTCATGCAGCTGCTACAGGGCAGAGCTTTCCAGAGCCCCTGTTTGCTTCTGCTCGGCACAGTTAACTTCAAACCACCGAAGACCCCCATAGAATTGCAAAGCAGGACAAGGCCAGAGAGCTAGGAACATTCCTGGGGCAGGGGGGAGGTGTACTTGACTTTTGAAAAGATTGGTAAAACTGCCACACCCACTGTATTCAAAGGTGACAGATCCTCAAGCAAAACTATTGCTGGATTCAGGATCTCCAGCTTTTTGAGTTTGAAGTGGGTCAATTGCTTGAGAGCTCAAATTCTGTCCTTACATATTTACAGATCACCCCCAGCCCCTTAAAAGCATAAAGGACTCTGTTGCCACCAGAGTGTGGTAATATGCGTTTTAAGGTAGAACTGAGAGCTGTTGAAACTTGTTCTTCACCATTTTCCACATTTAATAAATTATAACAGTTTTATTTCAGCTCCACATGGTGAGCTCAATAGCGAGTAAGGCCATTTCTCTGTTTGAGATGTCCCTTTGAGTTGCCTCGTTCCTAGATTGAGATTAATTTTTTAAGGGCAAGCACGCATGCGCACATGCACACACATGCACACATGTACACACAACCTTTTTCTTCTTCACTTCCCCAGCTGTGTTTTTCTCTGAGCCAGTAGCAGGTGCTATAGGAGGGAAAAGGCATCTTTCAGCAGGAGGCTCCTGTAACAAGTGGCTGCTTCTGCCCTTGTGGAGTTTTATATTCCCTTGTCTTTCTGTAGAAACAGGATGGGAATGAGAACTTATTAGTTGCAGGTATGAGGATGGACAGTTGACCTTCAGCTTTTATCACTTTTGGGTTAATAGGAATACAGGTAAGAACAGGACCTGAGACAGCCATGGCTTTAGCTGAGGCAGGTTCAGGGAGTCCTAATTTCATTACCTGGGTTGAGTTCTTGCTGGCAAGTCAGGTGATGGAGAGAAGGATAACGATAATAGTAACAGTTAACACATAGTAAGTGCTAAATATAGGAAAAGGATTATATAAAGTATTTCACATCCAGTAACTCACCTAATTTCCATAATAGTCTTATGAAGGTATTATTGTTATCCCCATTCTACAGATGGGGAAAACCGAGCCTCAGCAAGATCAAATACCTTGCCCAAGATCACAACTAGAAGAGTGGGGGTAATTTACACCCAGGCAGTCTGATTGAAGAATGCGTGTGCTTGAGTACTAGGCAAAAAGGAGGCTGTCGGCCTTGTTGCCACCTTCTGCTGGACTTTGGCTGTTACTTTCTAAAATGACAGGTATGAGGAAGTGACATTCGGCGTGCCTCAGTGCTCTCAAATGAACTCTGCATGATTAGGGATACCCAGATTAACAAGTAAGACATTTGGCTTCTTACCGCTGAGATCTGCCTTTCTATTGGGGAAGGCTCCTCCATAGAATGTAATGTGGGATTTGTCACTCAGGAGCCAAGAATGATCGATGTGGGCATGCCCAAAGGCCCTTCGGGAGGTTTGCTGTATTTTTTCATTGTGGCTCTCCTTTGAAGTGTGTGTATGATGGTGATTCTCTATTGATGTGTCCTGGGGAATGACAGATAGATACACATTCCTGTAAACAGGCTTTGTAAAGAAACGGAGCAGGTTCCTTTAACAGTCAGACCTTGTGGCTAGACTGTTGTTGCAAGGAAGGAACCTCTTTGGCAGCCTAGGAAGATAAACAAGGTTGTAAGAGTATGATCTCTAATGCTATTTGTTGTAATAAAACATTTTATTATTATGAGAGAAAGAATGACCTTTAACCATGCCTGATATATAGTTCTTTGTTTTTTTTATATATAGTGCTTTCTTGCAAAGAAATTAAAAGTCAAAATGAAGCTCTGTATCTTTGTATGCATTGTAAAATGTTTCTCCCTCTGCCCTTCTAGCCAGTGGTACCTCTCTTCTCCCCCTTTCCAGCTCACAGTGGCACATGATTTTCTTGTAAGTCAAATGAGCTTAAAGATAGTAGCATGTGTCGTGTATGTTGTTCTGAACCACTGTCATCTTGTACACACACACACACACTCACACTCATAAACATAGGCCTTAGAGTTTAGAAGCCATTTTTATATTTTAATGCATTTAATCCTCATAGTAGCCTAGTGAATATGATATGATATGTATAATAACAGCTTTTACAAAGGAGGTAATTCAGGCTCAAAGTCAGTTAAGTTTCTTTATCATGTTCACCACAACTTGTCAAATGCAGGACCCAAACCAGGCCTTTTCCAATTCTAAGACCAAGAGCTCTTTTCTCTAAAGAAGATTTCAGCTGCCTAGATGGGGTGAAGACTGTAGGTAGACTCTGTGGTTAAGTAAATTTGGAAAACCATAAGTTAACTACTTCAAATGGTCCATATTCACACATGCCCTGTGATTCTCTGGGAGGAGACCATGGTATGCAGCATTTCCCAAATGTATTTGGCCAGGAAATTAATTCTTTCTTTCTTTCTTTCTTTCTTTCTTTCTTTCTTTCTTTCTTTCTTTCTTTCTTTAAAAGATTATATTTATTTATTTGTCAGAGAGGGGGAGAGAGAACAAGAGAGAGCAAGCATGCACACAAGCAGGGGGAGTGGGAGGCAGGGGAGAGGGAGAACCAGGCTTCTTGCTGAGCAGAGAGCCTGATATGTGGCTTGATCTCAGGACCCTGGGATCATGACCTGAGCCAAAGGCAGATGCTTAACTGACTGAGCCACCCAGGCACCTACAAAATGCTTTTTTTCATCAAGCAGCTGGCAGTGTTCCACATGTGACACTTTGGGAAACTGTGGTCAATAGGCTTAAAGTACTCTTCCTTTCTCTGGGGGAACCCCAAAGAATGGTGAAGAAAGGGCATATCCCCTCTGAAGTCATGAACAATGACAGAAGGGAGCCTATTAGAAATGGTACCTCTGCCTGGGTTTCATCTTTCTGCCATGACTGCTTCCTGAGTGGCGGCAAGTGAATCCCCTGACTGCTGTGGTTCGTGGCTACAGAGCCCTGGTCCACATGTCCACCGGCCCCAGCTTCCCCTCCAGCCAGGCCCTGTTGACCTGCAAAGGTAAACAGTGGATCAGCCTTGTAAACCCAGATATGGGCACTGTGTTATTAGCTGCTTCCAAACTACCTTCCTTCTTGATCTTTGGAGCAAAAGTGTTGATCAAGGCCCTTGTTCCTCTTCCCTCCTTATTTGTGTTTCTGCTAGTACCTTCATGGAAGTGGCAGCCAGGTCTCTAGAGCAGAACTGCACTAGGAATCAGGAGGCTCAGGACTGAGTCTTCATTTCTTGGACTCAGTTTCCTCATCTGTAAAATGGGGATACTGATCCCTTGCCCTTGCTTCCTCACAGAGTTGTCTGGAACTCATATAAAATCACGAATGTGATGGTCCTTTGCAAACTGAGGGACTGGAGGGTGACGGTGATGTGATTGTGGTGGGGCTGCCCTGCAGCCCTGCTCTGTTGCTGTTGAAATGCTCTGTCTGAAGCCCTTGGTTTCCTGGGCTGTCTGCTGGTTGTTTACTTGTGGGCAAAGCTCTGCTGAATGCACTGTGATGGACGACTGCTTAGCTCTCTGAACTTACCCTGTCTGTGCAGCCCTCAGGAAGGATCTGAGTCAACAGATGACTCCAGCATGGTTAACAAATCTTTCATCAATGGGGTAAAGGGTCCTGCAGCTATTTTCATCACTTGCTCAAGGTAGATTTATTGCTGAAACTATCTGGCAAACCTTTGTTGTTTGGAGCTGCTTTAGCAACACCTCTACTCTCGGCATGCTGCTCTGTGGAACAGCGTGGGGCTGTCTTTCACCCAGGGGCTCTGGGAGTCGTTCAGGGGCCCTGCATAAGCTGGAACTCCAGACTTCTGGAGGCTCCCAGCCAGCCTCACCTTCCCTCTATATTCCCCAACCCTCGTCATTCCCTTCCTTGGTGTCATTGGATCAAAAGCCAAATGCCCCCTCTTGAGGCTACTCCCTCCCTCCAGCTCTTGTTCCTTTGCCCACTGGCTCCTGACAGTGCTTGGGTCTGAGCTGATGCCAAGAATGTTGGTAGAACAGAGGCAGACTCAGACTCAGGTTCAGAGGGGTCTGCTCAGGTTTTAGTGGTCCAGAGAAACCTGATGAGCCCTTGGGACCCCCTCAATCTGAGGAGACCCAGGTCCTCATTAGGCCTGCCCTAAGAGGGCCTCCACACCTCCATACGGGGTGTGGCACTAAAGACCTTTTTGTATATTCTAGAATTATTCTTTGGCAACAAGTCAGACTTCAGGTCCATGCTTTCTGGTCAGATTCACCTGGAACCAAATGTATTTCTGAGGGTAGAGGAAGTGAAACTCTGGCCAAGTGGCCACTCACTTGGTGAACAGCCTTATATGGTAGACTGTCTAAGTTGGATCAAGGGGCACTGTGAGTAGGGGGATATAGAGAAGCATTCTTCTTTTTGGCTGTATCCCAGTGATATTGACTATATGACTCAATCTATTCAAGGGAAACCAAGATTTTTCTCAGTAAACATCATCTCTGGCTCATTTGCTTATGCTTAATAGAAACAGGTATGCAAGCAAGATATTGGAAGTTTCAGTTGTTGAAAGGAGATCACAAAACTTGGTCTCTCTGTCTCAAAATATGGATTAAGATTACCCAAATAATGTGAACTGGAGTAGCAATTTAGAGATCCTACAGAGTTTTTTTTTTTTTTTTTTTACCTCTGTCCTCTTCTGTGATTTTTTTTTTTTTTACAACAACCCAGAGAGGGTAGAATGCAGATACCATTACTACCATTTTACAAATGAGCAAACCAAGGATTCAGGGAGTATAAGTGACATGACCAACATCACATTGTTGGGGAAATCTTATATTCGTAGTTAGGACTTTTTCTACTTTTTGAAATAAAGTGTCCGGAAAAAAGAGGGAGGCCAAGAGGAGATGAAGTTAAAACTGATAAAACCATCAGTCAGGGTTCAAGTTATAGCCTCTGAGCTGTTTTTACTTCTTTGCAAATTGATTTTTGAGCCATGTCATCATGAGCAATGGAGCATTGCAATTAGTAATTATGCTTAAAAACACAAGGTAGGGAGGGCTCTATACCTAACATTTATTGAGCACTTACTATGTGCCAGATACTGTATTATCCCATTTAATTCCAACATCTAGTCTTATGAGGCAAAAGTGGGCATGGCCATCTCTACTTTATAAATGAGGAAACTGAAGCCCAGAGAGGTCACATGGCTTGGGATCTGGTGCTAATTGGTACATGTTTAATTACAATTCTATATGGACTCCGTTTTCTTTCTGATTGTTACAGCTCCTTGGCATATGGCAGTAATTAAGGAAATCACTTGATCTCTTAGGTGTGCAGTGTTGATCTACTCCCAGAATGAAATTACTGCAGTCCCCTGTCCAGTATTTATAGACCATAGGGCATCAAAGTCTAAGGATATTAACTGAAGACAGTAGGATTTTTGAAGAGAGAGGGCATAATGCAATGTCAAAATGGGGTACCACCTGGGGAAGGACAGAGGGTTACAACACAGGAGCATTACCTGAGCAAATTCACCCATTCCCTGGAAATGGATGGCCCAGAAACTTGATCTCTTTAGTGTCCCAGAATCAACTGGTTTAAGGGATGTTGACCCACATTAGCAAAGTGTATAGAGACTCTATAAGCCAGGGTATGAATTTATGAAGAGAAATACAATTGCTTGACCAGCATATTTCCTGTAGATGAACTATATGTGGATCAGGTTATGACCAAAATTCCCTGGTTCCAGAGTCAAGACTTAGGGGAGGTATATGACAGGAATGTTTAATGAGAACCTGCCACATTCTTCTCCATTCATTTGATCAGATATTCTACTTATCCTGGCCAGATCCTTTCCCAAGGACAAGACTTGGTTAGGGACTATCATTAATCCTGGAAAATTCCTTTTTCATTTCAGAAAAATTAACTTTATATTATTAGGCTCTTGTTCTTTCCTTCTCTTTTCTCAAAAACTGGCACTAGCCAATGCCTTATTCTTTGTCCATTAGTGCCTCTCAGTTATCTTTTCCTATCTCCCTTGGCAAGGCAATTTCTGGCTCTTTTATTGCTTCAAGTTCCCAAGAATAACTTTGATAAGTAAAATCCCCATAGTACTGAACAGCTTACAGACAATTCACAATAATAATCTGCACAGTAATGAGGCAGGTCTTAGTACATTCATTACAGAGATGAGCAAACAGAAGCTCAAAGAAGTTAAGTGACTTGCTCAAGATCTAGTATCTAGTAAGAAAGAGAACAGGCATTGCTCCAAAGCTTGTATTTTTTTCTTATGATATTGCCACAAAACCATAAAATTAAAGAATGTTAGAGTAGAACAGGCCTAAGAAATAATCTAAAATCTAGAGTCTAGACCTGTACCACTTAATACAGTAGCCAATAGCCACATGTAGCTATTTAGATATAAATTAATTACAAGTAAGTAAAAATTTAAAATTCCATTTCACAGCCACACTACATTTCAAGTGCTCAACAACTGCATGTGGCTAATGGCTACTGATTGGCTATAGCACACATTATAGAATATATATATTATATTATATATACATATATAATATATATCATAGAATAATCCATCATTTCAGAAAGTATCATTGGATGGTGCTGGTCTAGACTCTAAAGACAATGAACCCCAGAATCCTTAGATTTTATTTTTGGGAACTCCATTTTAAGTGTTAAAAATCCAAATATTTGAGATCTGGTCATAAAATCAACATGTACCTTGTTCAAAAGTTTTTCCTTGTTGAATCCAAAATGGAGGGAAGACAGGCAGGAGATGGTATTTTGGGGGTACACCTGAAAGATCCTGTTGTAGCCTGAGATTCTTTGGTACATTAAGTTGATTGTTCTGGAGCAGCACAGAATCCTTGATGTATCCTGAAGAGTAGGTCAGGAGTCATTGGTAGAAATAATGGTTGCTAGTTCAGAGGTCTTGGAGATACCTACAAGGTTCCCCACTTACACTAGTCTTGGCTTTGGACATTGCCCATTAAAGAAGACAATTAGAAAATGGGAGGGATTAAAAATCAGAACCCATAGAAGGTTTTCTGTTCAGTGTCTTGGGTACTTCTGGTCCTGGGCCTCAAGTGTGCTTCTTCCACTTCACCATTCCCAAGAATTGGGTTTCCCTGGTGGAAGAGACATGGCTGCTTCTTTGGGGTTGGGTAAAAGCCTCCTCCTGCTTCAAGAGGAGAATCCAAAGTTTTCTCTTGGATGTATCCTACTTATTTCTGTAGGCCCCATGATTCTCAATTCAGTTATTCTACAAATATTTATTGGGGGCTTACCATGGCTAGGCATGGGCCCTTTTTAGAGGCACTAATAGTCTATTGGAGAGATGAAGCTCTCCTTTGCTTAGCTGTGTGGCCCCAAATGTCACTGAGATATAAGGGCAGAAAATAGGAAGCTCAATATTGGCTGGAGTTGTCAGAGAAGCATTTGTAGAGAATGTGGGTCTGAAGTGTGTGGAAGTTGTTATAGGGATAGAAAGACGGGACCAGAAAACATACTAGCCTCACAAAGGTAGTGAGCTCTGAGATGTGAGTCCCTGGCAGAGGCCTTTGGGCCAGTGATCTCGTACCACAGTATTGCTACTGTTCCTCCAGCTTGAGGGTCTCATTCTCAAGAGGTGCTTTGGTAATTAATTATGGCAAAGGGGCCCAAGAATGCACTCACACATGAATCTTTTCTTAAACTACACAGTGTAGCCCTATGATTTCCATAGAAGGGTCTGAGATGTGTTTTGATGTTAAGTGGGGTTCTTATCCTTGAAGATGTTGGACCTGGCCTCTGAGGCAGTGGTCTGGTCTTTCCTCTGCCCCCACCCAATGATAAACATATCTTTGGTTAAGAAGCTTTTTCTCAGAAGTGTTAAATAAATAGAACTGCCTATAATGCTGGGCCTGCCATGAAAGTAAAACCAATTACTGGACAAAACCCACATCTCATTTTCCTTTAAGTCATCACTTACTGGGGAGAGAGCTGTTTTCTCTCCTTTCCCAAGGTAAACCTATAAAACAAGAAGCAAGTCAGTCTTCCTCTGGTCCTGTCTGTTTGTACTGAAGTAATGGCAAACACCCAGTGGGTGCTGGCAAATCCTATTTCTCACTCCTCTCATCCCCAACAGGTTTGCCAAATAAAATAGGAGATGTCCAGTTAAAATTGAATTTCAGAGAAACAGTGAATAATTTTTAAGCAAAAATATGTACCAAATATTGCAAGTTTAATTCTGTGTGTGTGTGTGTGTGTGTGTGTGTGTGTGTGTGTGTGTGTATGTCTGTGCAGGTCTCTGTGTGTATGCATTAAACCTGGCAACTTGAATCCCCGGTAGTTTCCTGTTTTCATTTTTAAGCCTTTACAGAGTACATTTGGAGTCTCTGTTCAGCATGAGGGCAGGCCTTCTGCTGAAGGCCTAACATTTCTACTTCCTGGAGGATCTGAGATCACTTCAGAAGGCAACTCAGGAATGTTGGGGTGAATGTGGAGCTGGGAGTGAATAAAGGATTTGCCTTCTAGTCCCAGCCCTGCTTTTGACTGAATGATTTTGGATGTATTGCTTTGTCCCCCATCCCCAGGGCCTCTTTTTCCTTGTCTTGTAAAAGACAGAGATTGATATGGAGGATCTAAAGTCTCTGAGTGGGGAAGGTTGGGAAGAAAGTTTTGCTTGGGATGTGGAGTGTGGAAATCCTAAGAGGAGCTAGAGAGAAGTCAAAACTTCAGGTTTTATGTTCTTCTGCAAATATGGCGGAAGATAAAGGGCAAAAAGTATGATAGAGGCTCTCAGTTCCCAAGCTTGAGCACCTTTGCCTTAACACAAAATTGTACCTGAAATTCTAGCATTTCAGGACTTGATGGAAAACACACCCTCACATCAGAATTCAAGGCAGGGCATCACAGGGTGTATTGGTGTATCCTCCCATTGCCCCACTGACCTGCACATTGGAGCCTGTACATGGTGTCAGGGGGCCATGTCTGCAAGAGGCCTCGCAGGTATCTCTTGGCTGAATACCCAGGCTGCATCTGCCGTTGGGCCTGGGTCTCTGGTTGGCTTCGGAAGTGGAGGTACGGTTGCCAGGCTCTGTCCTGTTCCCTCTGTGGGGACACCAGTCAGGAAACAGCATGGCTGCTGAGTCCTGAACCTCCCAGTGATACAGGCTGGTTAGCATGATCCTCCTGGATAATCTGGGAGCCTCCTGGAAGGTGCCTCAGGGCACCCGAAACAAATGCCTCAGCCAACAAACATAAACCAAAAACCCACAGAGCAAAGCACTGAAAGGCCCCTGCAGATTTGAGTTGGAAGGAGAAGGAGAAATGAGAAATTCCAGACCCCATCTTGAGACAAAGCCTCAGAAAAGAATAAGAACCTCAAAGAAAACACATTACTTAGTTCAGCCTGTGGAAATAATTTTAGTACCTTAAAAAGTGGTCCTGTAGGGCAATGGGAAAGTCAGCTCAACAAGTCAGCATTGCCGGTTAATGTTTGCAATGTGAATAATGGGACAAACTATGTTCATGTTAATGGGAAGCCTGGCATTTTGAAAATATCTGGCTCTGCTACATTTCATTTCAGCCCAGGAGAATTTTCTGGGAACCTACCTGCTAAAGTCAGTTCCACTGTATAAGGCATCATGGGGAATGTGTGAATATGAACATCTCACACTTAGCTGGGGATATATATTCTACAAAGAACTTTCACCTCATTATAATCCTTTAATGTGGGTGAGTTAATAAGATAACTAATTAAATTATGCAGAACTCTCTAAGGATGATCAGTTAAGAACAGAATAGCAAAGATGTGGACTTGTGTTGACAGCTATCTGCCTCCCCCTTGTCCCTGTAGACATCACCAATCAATCATGGCATTCTTGACTGATGAACAGATTGTGATTTCAGAGTCCTTCTTTTACAAACTTTTAAAGGATTATTTATTTATTTGAGAGAGAAAGAGAGGGAGAAAGAGAGAGAATGAGAATGGGGGAAAGGAAAGAGGGAGAGGGAGAGACAGAATCCCAAGCAGATTTGGTGCTGAGCATGAAGCCTGACACAGGACTTGATCTCACGACCCTGAAATCATGACCTGAGCTGAAACCAAGAGTTGGGTGCTGAACCAACTGAGGCACCTAGGCACCCCATTCTCTTGTAAATTTTTTTAAAAATTGATGCATAATTTATGTATGATAACATACACAGAGCTAAAATGTTCAGTTTAATAAAATCTGACAATTGTATACACCTTTGTAACCACCACACAAAACAAAACATAGCCCAGAAAGCTCCCTCATATTACTTGCTGGTCAATTTTCCACACCCATCAGGTAATCACCATTGTTGAGGTTAGTAAGCCACTGGCCCGGGTAACTTTGCTAAATCCTGTCGGAACTTCTCAAAGAAAAATGGTTAAATTTTAAAAAGTAAAGAAAAAAGAAAAAATATGATCGAAATAAAGAACCTGCTTAATGTGGAGAGAAAGGCCTTAGGTATTGCTCTGCTGGGCAAATCTGTGGTTTGCTCCCGTTCTGATGTATGCAGGAGATCAAAATGCCACAGAAGGATAGCCTACAGCTGTAGCTGAGAAATCAAGACCGCCAGAGACTCTTCAGCTAAAGAGAAGGCTGAGAAGCCAAAGTCCATAGGACAAAGGAATACATCTGCTGAGGAGAGAGAAACAGGTACCCAGGGTAGACATTCATTCAATCATTCATTCATTCATTCATTCATTCATTCATTCATTCATACAGTGTATCAAATAAGATGCCAGGCACTGGGGGAATAGGGACAAATAAGACAAACTGATAACTAACAAATAATTTGAGTAACAGAGAAAATAAAGCATGGCTAATTATTCAATTGGCTGTATTCTTTAAGAATTTGTAAATTAAATGAATGTTTAGAATCCAAACAGAGCATCCAGATGTCTTTGAGGTCTGGATATTTTATGTGGCAGGTAGTTCAAATGCAAAAATATCCCAAATAATTCAGTCCCACATAAATCTTGAGGATTTTTCCAGAGGATAAGAAAGAATTATAGAGGGCAGCCCAGGTGACTCAGTGGTTTAGCACTGTCTTCAGCCCAGGGCATGATCTTGGAGACCCGGAATCGAGTCCTGAGTTGGGCTCCCTGCATGGAGCCTGCTTCTCCCTCTGCCTGTGTCTCTGCCTCTTTCTGTGTGTGTCTCTCTCATGGATAAATAAATAAAATCTAGAAAGGAAGGAAGGAAGGAAGGAAGGAAGGAAGGAAGGAAGGAAGGAAGGAAGGAAGGAAGAAAGAAAGAAAGAAAGAAAGAAAGAAAGAAAGAAAGAAAGAACTTGAGTCACTTTGCGCCCACTGCCCAGTGGGCGCAAAGTGACTCAAGTTCTTATGCACTCCATTTTTTTCATTTGGTCACATAATAATCTTTACTGAGCATCTTCTATGTGCCGGGCACTGTGGTAAGCCATGGAATATGAAGCCATTTGATCTAAGGCCTTTTCTGGGTGAATTGGAACTTCATTTCCTCCCTGAAAATCTTTGCTTCAAATGACTCCTCTCTGAATGAAACAAGACCTAGCCTCCTCTGAGAAGCTGTGGTCCCTATGTAGATGGCATTATGCACTGTTTGATCTGGACAAGAGCCCCTTGTTGTTTCCAATTTGTGAGTAGTTTTGAAGTATCAGCTTGGTTCTGAAGCTTTACTGGGCAACTTGGTAAATGGGGCAGAGAGTTACTGAGAAGAATAGGGAATCTTTTGTCCTGGAATTTGGGGTATCTTATATATATTTTTGCCTATACTTTGAGAGCTGATCTTGGTCTCTGTGTTAGTTTCCTATTGCTGCTTTTTTAAAGATTTTATTTATTTGAGAGGGAGAGCAAGAGCGAGAGAGAGAGAGAAAGAGAGCAGAGAGTGCGCACGGAGGGAAGGGGAAGCAGACTCTCCACTGAGCACAGAGCCTGAGGTGGGCCTCAGACCCACGACCCAAAAATCATGACCTAAGCTGAAACCAAGAGTCTGAAGCTCCACCACCTGAGCCACCCAGGTACCCCAATAATCTCTTTGTTTTAAGGTCATCTGATTAGCAAACTTAATTCCATTTGCAACTTTTATTTTCCTTTACCATTTAACCTAATATATTCATATGTTCCAGGGATTAGGACATCACATCTTTGGGAGTCATGATTCTGCCTGCCATGGGTTCTTTTCAGTTTTTTCTGATTTTTCTTAGTAGTTTCTCAAATCATGCCAATGAAGTTGATTGATAAGTTTCTTATCTCATTGGATAAACTGATGCGCTGAGAGAGAAACCCAAGGCCTGTTTAGGGTTACCAAGGAGAGCAGTCAGGGTTAAATCTATTCACTCATTTCCAAGGTGTGGAATAATATGTTAAGTAGAAAAAAAGCAAGACACAAAAGAAGACGTAAAGTACAGTTATAATCTCATAAAAGTATGTTTTATAAATGTATAATCATGGTGGAAAGACTGAAAGAAAATATATTAAAGTTCTAATAACAGTGGTAATAGGGAGTTGGGCATGAGATTACAGTCAGCTTTTTTTCTTTTCCCTTTTTAAAAATAAAATTAAAAATCCATTAATATAGTTAGATTATATTAATAAATGGAAAACATGTTAAAATTATTTTATTGGACCCACCCTCTTCTCCTAGGTATAATCTCAATTCCTTCTCCAACATTATCCTGGACTTCTAACCACCAGAAGTAACTATAAAAGTTAAAAGGAGACAGAAGGAAACCAAGAAGGGAGTTTCTGAAACGGGGAAATAAGCCACAGCAGGAGGCTGTCTGTGATGGTTTCAGACTTCTCAGGCCTGCCTTGGCTTTGCCAATCAACTCCAGCTTTTGGTTTCTAATGAAATGAGTAATTGGTGTACAGAGTGGCCTGGTGTCCACACTCCACCAGAGTACTTGCCTTAGTCAGGGACTCTCTCTGGCCGGCCATGTTCCCAGTGCCCCCCCAGGCCTCCAGATGCAGAGGAGCAAGTTGGACCCCCAGTACTTGTCCCCACCCATGTACTGGCTGTCCTGTCCACACTGCCCCAATGCTAGTCAGTGAGGGTTTTCAGAGAATGAAAGGATCCAGTGCAGGCTGTGCTCCTGCTCAGCAGATACGGGGCGGCGGGGTGCCAGACTCCCCAGGAAGGCAAGAAAAGCCCAGGACAGTCAACTGCCATGTTACCACAGATGGTGGCCAGCCTTTGTGTGCAGGAGTCAACAGAGTAGAGAGAGAAGTCCAGAAATCCCAGGGCTGGCAGACAAAGCCCTTCACCCTTTGACCCTACCTACTTCTCCAGGTACATTTCCAGCTAGGAGTCATACCTGTCTAATCACCATTTCTCCTGCTTGCTTTCCCCCTTAGGCCTTCACTTACCTGTAACTAGAAGGATTCTCTCCACTTATTTTTACCATAGGACTCAGGTCAAATACTACCTCCTCAAGACATGGTCACTCTAATCTGGTCCTTGTGCCCCCCTACTGGGTAGAGGTTATGGCCTCTCCCTGTTACACACTAGCTACTAATATGTTCACCCAACGACTATTCGTTGAGCATCTGACATATGTCAGACACTCTTCTAGGCACTGAGTAGTTAATAACTACTCAAATTGTTAGCTCAGTTGAATGAAAATCCCAAAAATGTCTGTACTTTCCTGCTGAACACCTGTGTCCTGAACTGCCTACTTTAGTCAGAAGTCCTTCCTCTGAGGAGGAACCACAGCTGGTGCCTCCTGTTTCTCAGTCAGGCTTGCTGGAGTCAGTGTGCTTGGGCAAAGGTCAAACTTTTACACAGAGGATGACCACCCATTGTCCTTGCGCCTGTGCAAGTGTGACTGGAGCCAGCCTTGGAGATACCAGTTAAGTGCACCTGGAATAGAAGTGGGGTTGGGATGGGAAGGGAAAGATGTACAGCCACTTGCAGCTGTGCCTCAAAAGCCTTCTCCATCCCTAGCCTTTAATCAGCTTTGTGTAAACACTACCACTCTCAGCCAGCCATTTTCTCCGCAGATTAAATTTCTGTGATTCTGTGCAAATGATATTATCTCTCTCCCATATATCTTTGGTAACTGAATTTCCAGGGTATCAAGCCATTAAAAATAGAATG